CAATTGTCTATCTCCTTTGTCAAAGGCATTTAAGGATTGAGAAGGAAATCAAGTGATTTAGAATTGAATTTGATTCAGAAATGAGACAGGGGGAAAGAAAGACAGAAAAGAAAATAGGAAAATTGTTAATAATTTAAAATAATTAAACCTTTTAATCTTTTGGGTACCTCTGACAACAATCTTCTACCTGCAGGGATAAAATCAGATAGCTTAGATGCTAAATTGTTCCCCTCCTCTGCTGAGAGATAAATTGCGGTAATAATAATCATGTCAGAAAACTGCTTGCACAGGGGTGGGGGTGTGGTCAGTTAGGTCAATTGGCTAGACAGCTGGTTTTCAATGCAGTGTGATGCTGACAACATGCGTTCAATGCACCACCTCTCCCGTTGCATGCTGACTCTCTGGTTAAACAACTATTAGTCATCTCTAAGAAGAGCACAGCCATTTGGTCTGGGAGGACAATGGCAACTTTACCTTACTTGCACTGCTAATTATTAGTTGTAACTTTCTTCAGCATTAAATGAGAAATCAACATGCAAATTCAGTCTTTTTTTAATATAAATGAGGTGACCAAGGGTAAGAAGTAATCTGTGTGAAGGTAATGATGGAGCAGGCCAAAGCAGAAAGTGATGGCGATTCTTAATGTGAAATGTATCATCTTATTTGTTAAACTTGCTGACCAATTTACCCATTTAACAATGGGGCGTGTGACATCAGTTACGAAGAGATTTGCCCAGGATAACATATTGCTTTCTACTTTGATTTCATTGCCCTAATATTTTCATTTTGCCTAGGGTCACTGGCCCAGGAATTCTCTGCGGCCAACCTATCCCAGGATAGTCACAGTAATCCTGTAGCAGTGAGGATTCAGAATGTCCTGGCCTCCTATTATCTCCCCACATCCTGAGAGAGATCACATGAATTCTGCTCAGTGTCTCCTCAGACCAGTTCAGCAGAGACTGAGGTTCATGGAGGGGTCATCAATACATGGTACAGTGACAACACCTCATTATAGAGGTCAACTATCTTAATTGTTTTAAGATCCCTTTGGCTGCTGAGGACATGTAAACATGTGTGTTTTGAAAAGGTAAACCCTTTTCTTTATTCTCTTTCAGGATACAGCTGTTGCTGGTAAGACCAGCATTTGTTACCCGTCCCTAATTGCCTTGGAAGGTGACAGTGGCCCACCTTCTATAACTGTTGACAACTGAGTGGCCGCTTCAGAGGAATTTGTTTTTGGACTGGAGTCAGGGGTCTCGGCCCAGATAGGGAAAGGACCACAGGCTTTCTTCTCTAATGAAATAGAAGTGGCCCTGTTGATTTTAATGCCCGTCCAATAGTTTAGTCACTTTACTGAGGCCACCTTTTTAATTTCCAGGCATGATTAGAAATTAGTCTGTAAGCCTGAAACCACCACAGTGCTGTATTCAGTCCAGTGCCATAACCTGATACACCAGGGTACCCATAGCTCAGATCCCTCACTCCTACTCTGCTCTCTCCCTCTTTAGACAATGACCTGGACTGGTTGATTCCCTGATGAGGTGAAGTGTTATTTGCAGTTCTGTGAGCTTTGCTGCACCTTGTGTGATGGAAGTCCAACATTGCAAAATCAGGCCACTGTCCCCCACCCCCCCACCTCTGTGTTTTAACTTAACACTGGAATCGCTTGTTGGTGAATTAAATTTATCACGCTGAGTTCAAGATACAGAGGGAGCCAGAGTAGTGAGTAACACACCCATCCCTACTCAGTTATGAAACTTGAGATGACTAACATGGTTCTGTGATCAATTACCTCAGCTAATAACAATGTGCCATATTACAACTCAGGCTGCCTTTGGGCCATTCACAGGACAGCACATGAAATGTTTTCTGAGCCTGGCTGCTTTATGACGTTTCACTTTTGGAGCTCTTTACAAAGAGGCAAGGGATGCTTAAGTTATGCGAGTTGGCTGAAGAGAATTTAATTGGCAAAAATTAAAGGTAAGAGTAAGATCTGAAACCTGAGGGGAAAGGAATGCTGAACTTTAGAATCTGAATTTTATTTTTACAATGAGATGAGAAGTCCACAGCTTTCTTTAAGCAAGTGAAGTGAGTGATTATGAGGCATAGGGATTGTTGTAATCTGTTTCTCATTTTATTGGCATGATCCTGTATATTAACAGCTGTGATAGTTCATTCAAGGAAGAAGTTAGTTCAGAAGAGGCTTGTATGAAAACTGTAGTTAAACTTTTACTTATTGATGGCGGTTGTGTTGTCAGAAAACATGAACAACTCAACCAGGAGACAGCTTGTTATGTGTGGTTTCTGGGCAGGTGTAGAAGTCCAATACTTTGTGGTTTAAATATATCACGGTGTTGAGAGAGCGGATGAAACTGTTCAAGTTCTTGTTGTTTTCAGAATGAACTGTACTTCAGTTCAGAGGAAAGTCTGAGGCAGTTTAACAGGAGACTTTCCCAACCCCCCCTCCCCAGCACTTTTTAACAAGGCTGTACATCGTGTTCCAGTTTTAAAAGAAAGACTCATACTGCTGTAGACCTTTGGCATGTCCCGAAGCATTTTGTCAGTGATATACCTTTAAAGCTTAGTCACTGTGGTAATATCGGAAACATGACAGTTGGTTTTTGCAGAAACTAAGCAGGCTCGCAGAGTCAGCAACGTGACAATGGCAAGATAATCTGTTTTACCTTGTTGAGGGATCCGTATTGATTCGAGGAATTTGGGGTGAGCTCCCTTCCTCCTTGTTATAGTGGCTAGGTTAGTTTTTATATCTATCTGTGTGGGCAAGCAAGATCTTGATTTCATGCCTTCGTAACAGTGGCAGCTTTGGTTATTTGTGGAAAGACTTCTGAAATGTATAAACATAGCCAGAAGTTCTTGAGTCCAGAAGTATACATTGTAAACAATGATGACAGTTCAACAGTTGATTGGCGGCAAAGCATTTTGGGATCGTTCTGTGCCTGTGCTAAACAAACGTGAGATTGCCCTCTTTCTGATATACATCCTTAGGGAGGGAGAGTCCTTGTTATGGCTGTGTATGATTGTTTATACAACTGTTTTAGATTGCTGACTGTTTCTTTGAGTGTAAGGCACCTTTTAACTCTGCTTAGATAAAGAAGCAAGTTGAGGAAAGAGTTAATGAGCCAAAGGAAGTTACTTTGTAATAAGTTTCCTTTAGCTGAAGTACGGTAACAAGTTCTTCAACTCTGGGAGAGGTGGGGTGAGCAGCAGGGACTTTTCAAGTGATTTCAAAGAAAAGTTACACTAAGCTATCTTGTTAATGAATTTGTGATATCTCTATTTATCTGAGCTGTTGGATTATTTGAGGAGACTGTACAGGTAAAATTCTCAAAACTTAACATTATGTCATGGTCGGAGATGCAGCACTAAGACACTGCAAAGTTGGAGGGATAATACCTTCAGTATGTTGCACTGTTGGAGGGTCAGTGCTGAGGGAGCGTGGCGCTGTGGGAGGGTCAGTGCTGAGGGAGCGCGGCGCTGTGGGAGG